CTTTAAGATTTTCATCTTACTCCAGTCAGAATGGCTCAGATCAAGAGAAGAAACGACAGTAAATGCTGGTGAGGATGTGGGGACAGGGAACGCTCATTCAGTGCTGGTGAGAGCGCAAACTGGTGCAAGCACTGTGGAAATCAGTGTAGAGAACTCTTAAAAACTAAAGGTAGGCCTACCATGTGACCCGGTTCTGCCACTCCTTGGCATGTCCTGAAGCAGAGGATTCGACTGCAGAGACGCTTGCTTACCCGTATTCATTACCGCTCTTTTCAGAACAGCTAGGATGGAAACAACCGCATGTCCCTCAACTGATGAGTGGCTCGTGCAAGTGTGGTTCGTTTACACTGCGAGGTTCCACTTAGTGATAAAGAAAAATGAAATCCTGAACTTTGCAGGTAAACGGATGGAACTCGAAATCTGTATGCAAAGTGAGGTAACCCAGACTCAGTGAAACAAGTGATTCATCTCTCATCCTAGTGCCAAATCTTCAGATGCGAGTATGTGTCCTGCTGTAACTGCAGGAGCGGGTAGAGACCATGGGGGCGGAAGGGAGGAGCTCTGGAGAGGGGGAAAGTAGAACAGGTGACACCAAGAGGAAAGAGGGCGTTAGAGGGGGGCCAGGAGGGATGGAAATAATGCAAAGACAGCACTCGCGAATTCTCAAAAATAAAAATATTAAAAACAAAAACCAAAAAGAAATTCAGAGCATCTTTGTGGTTCAGTATCTGCAGTTATCAAGTTTGTTGTTATCAGTTCCATGTTATTCTAGAGGTAAGTTATTAATTTGGAGATGGTTTAAGACGTGGAAGAGAAGGAAAAAGGGAAGCATAAAACCAAAGCACCCTGACTTCAGGGCCATTCACTTGCTTTGCTGGCCTTTTTTGGTCCAGCACTCAGTATGTTTAGCAGAATGTTTAGTGGAACGTTTAGAGTTTAGAGAAGCGAGAAGCGGAGTCTCTGAATGAGACTCCCAAAGGCAGCAGCTCTGCGGCGGAAGCCCAGAGGGCCAGATTGAAGAGGCGCTGAGCCTCGGGCCCTTCATCCTCCTGCTGCCTGCATCTTGGCTGCTGCTCCAGTTCTAGATGATGGGGCTGGGCTGGTGAAGACAGCCCTAGTTCAGAGTTAAGGAGACACTCCAAGATGGTAGTCTGTAGAATATAAAGCAATTTGAGAAACATTTCAAAGCATTTTGAACAATATGCACATTGTTAGGTCTCACTTAGTGAGGACATTTCATTAAGGTAATGCCAGTCTATTACAAATACAAACTATGCCTTCTGAAATTTTCCACTCATGTTCCATGACTTTGAGAGATTCATCCATTTAAAATGTATTTTATGCCTGTGGTTACTGGTTCCTGATGGGGCTCAGGAAGAATTTCAGTGAAGAGCGGCCTACAGCCCAGCAGGGTTGACTGGGATTAAATGTTTGGCAAGTGTGAGTGGGAAAGCATTTATTTTTGATTGTTTTCCCACCACAAATTATAATTGGATTTCTTGACTTCTTTTTTTGAAGAAATTTTAAAATTAATTTTCATATTGATCATAATCTCTAAAAAAATCTGCATAATTACCATTAGGGCATTGAATTTCACTGAGATAGATACCAAGAAAATGGTAAGGTAAAAATATCAGCAGTTTTCTTTGTGTTTATGTAAGAAATCAAAGCCATGCTTCATGAATGTTATGTACTAAACACAGTAAACACATCTGCCTTGCAGGTAAGTACATGGTATAACTGTGCCCTCACGGTTCTATTTTTAGTGACAAGAGAGCATGGCTTTAAAACGTGGAAACCATGTGTGTAATCAGTCCGTAGCTGATCCCACAGCACAATCTGAGTGCTCACTTTTTCTTTCAGTTTTGTGTTGCGAGACGGCCACATTGCATGTGCTTTGTTGTGTGAAGTGCGTTTTGCTGGGGCTTAAAAAGAATAAAGTGCCGAGTCATCCACATGGCAGAGGATGCTCACCAGGCTGTGAGATCACGTTCACATTTGCATGGCTTCTATTCCAGATGCCTGTCTCAGTTTTAATAAGATGCAAAACAGCTTGTTATTTATAGGAGTGTAGAAGCTTGTCTTCAATGTGAGTTTGTGTGTATGTCTGGAATGTAGCAGCAATTGATCTTAGAGATACCCAGTAAATGCAGGTTTAAATACCCATCACGATGCTCAGTTGGTACTAAGAGAAAAAAGGCACTTGAGGAGTCAACAGATGAGATCTTCTAACTGACACAAAGGAGTGTTTGTTGACAAAATTGCTTAACTATATGATTTGTCATCCTTTGTACAGGCACAATCATGATCAGAATGAAAATTAATTTAAAATTGTTCAGGAACAGTAGAGGCTGGAAATTATTAATTGCATATTGTATAACATGATTGTGTGGAGACATTTTCTATACCATCAAATTATATTTGTAGAATAGTTGTCAAAATGGAGAAAACATTAAATGTGGGAACTAGACCTGAAGCTCCCTGTTAACAAGATCAGCAGTCATTAAATGTGGGAACTAGACCTGAAGCTCCCTGTTAACAAGATCAGCAGTCATTAAATGTGGGAACTAGACCTGAAGCTCCCTGTTAACAAGATCAGCAGTCATTTCATTTCAGCAAAGTGACGTCATCTTTCCAATGGAATTTTATAATTAACATTGCCTTCCAAATGGGATCAGTATTTTATCACACTATTAGTTTGGTATTTTTGTTGAAATTTAATTTATAATACTTAGATGTTGGCGCATGCATCTCTAATCTGCATGTATCATTATTACTAGCCAGTTTTGAAAGAGATGTATCTTTGCTCTGGAAATTGTTATTGAGTATGTTAAAGCTGTAATGAAATGCTTCTTCTTAAAAAATATTTTAAAAAATAAAAAGCATCCTACAAACAAACAAAATTTAATTTATAACTGTGGTTTCTTAAGAAATGTAACCCCAAGTAGTTTGTTTGCATGTACATATTGAAATGTAGTTGGGCGGAAAATTTAACACAGGCTAAGGAAGAATTATTTCTTCAGAAAAAGTTCTGAGCATTTTTTAAGTTATCAGAAATAGTGAATTAGAACATGTAGTTGGGTTTCTAAACCTGTGAAATCCAGTTGCTTGACTTGTTACTCATTAATCCACATTATAACTGTAATAAATTATTTATATGATATATTGATTATGTTTAACCAAGGGTCATAGTACTTATACTGAGGGCCAAAATTATATCTAGGAAATGTATTGATTGCATATATTATGATTGATGCTGGCATTATATAGGTATGAAGTAATTATTTAGTTTGATAGAAATTAATTCTAAACAAAACATGGCATAAAGACTCAATTTTATACATTTGTGTATCAGTTCAGTCTTGTTTCACAAAGATTATATAATTAATAATAACAGTCTAAACTGATGGCCTCTAGTCATAAAAAAGCAAAAGCATATTTTCCACTTTAGAGGAATAATTCTCACCATTCTAGGAGCTTGAATCAGGAACAGCTGAAGGTCTGATATTTGAGTGTGGTGGGGTTGGAATGCTTTCAAAACAGCAGTTCAGCCAATTTTCAAGAAAAATCACAGTGTTTCAGTTTTGAACTTTGATGTACTTGGAACGTATGCAACAGAACGGTTTCTTCTTGGTGTTGCCTGCCAAGCTAATATGTATGCCACGTTCATTTCCCTCATGTTTGGGAAGCTCAAGTATATAGGAAATAAGAGTTTTCCTGATCCATTTCTCTCATCTCAGGGGCAAGAACAAGATGAGAAGCATTTGAAATTTCCTCTTAAATTATGCAAAAATGAAACTGTCTGGCTCATTTAAATTGTTGAGTACCTACTGTGTACTCCAGGCCTGCATGATCCAGTGTTACAAAGATAAGTCAAGCTCTGCCCTCTGACAGGTTATATTCTAATGGAGGGTTCTTATTCGAAGTGTCCTAGAGGAAATCAAACCATGAGATAGCGCCTGGCCTGCCATGGGAGACTGGCAGCCGCTCTGCTCAGTAGCCTCGAAAACAGAAAGGCCAGTGCAGAAACAGCATTGTAAATGCGAATTGCAGCTGATCAGGTGTTAGGAGTAGCTTCCATTTCACTGTAATTACATTCATTTTTAAGTGGAAAAAGTTTGACTAATATGGTAGATTTGCGGAGATTGCACTGAAACAGGGCCAGAGTTCCAGCAGGCTGCTAAGAAGGAAGTTCGCATTCCACACCTAGGAGAGAGGACCTGCTAGACTTAGCGGGTGAGGCGTGGTTGGAGTAGGGCTGTGTTCCTGGGCTAGGCCAGTTGCATGTGCTCCTGGATTGCAAGTTGTCATCCTTAAGCATTTGGGAGTTTGAACATTAAATTCTTTGAAATGTAGTTTAGAGTGGACTCTTCAGGTTGTGAGAACATCAGATGTTCCTGAAAATTAAAGTATTTTAATTGCTCCTTCAGCTGTTCTTTGTTCTAGGGCATCAACTTTGTGGGAGAACCATAAGGTCACTAACTGCAAGGGCTGTGGATAAGTTGCTCTGTTCCTGTACTTTGAATTTGTGCTGTGTATTATCTATATTATCCTATATTAAATTATGTTATGTGTATATAACTTATTACATATTATTCATAATATAATAAATTTATTAATAATATATGGCATAGTGAATAATATATTGTACTATATAT